GCTGTCACAACCCCTAATCCAGATCTTTCACTTTTTATATTGAAACACCCTCAAACAAGTTCCTCAGACTGGAGGGTTGTGGACTATCTCACCACCCACACCCTCCTTCTTTTAAAAAGTTCCACCTTCAGCTTTAGAAGTGTGAGGCTGAAAAGTACTGAGACTTACTAGTGATTTCAGCTCTCATACTTTTATTTCAGGAAAGAACAAGACAAAGTTTTCCGGCTTGCAGGCCGGCTTATATGTGCAACAATCCCCACACCCAAACACCCCCCACACCAGTGATAGGCTATTTACAGTGGCCGAGAGTTCCATGACCCCTGTTCCACCAAGTGATCGAGCTCTGTCTTGATCTTTGGCCTCATAGTGATAGGGGGGTGCCTAGCTTTCACCCGAATGGGATGGACAGCTGGGTCCAGGGAGATGGGGGGTCCAGAGTACCGGCCCAGCGTCCTGTCAAACACTTTGGGAAACTCGTTACAGACGGCCGCGAAATCCGGCACCTGTATCTGATGGACCCCCGAGACAGTCCTAGCGGCCTGAACCATGAAAGACCCAGGCGACTCATGAGCCACCCCTCCACCACCAGCAAATCTAAAGGACCATCGAAGTTCTTATACTGCACCCGGAACTTGCCCCAGCCCCAGACCGCCACAGGGTTCTTGTTAAAGTCTCTCAAGGTCAACCCCCCGGACTTCCGGTTTATGGCGACACACTGGCAGACACACTCCTGGGGGTGCAATCTCCGTGCTAGTGGTTAGGAGGGGGGGCAGCCCACTGATTGGCGTGGGCTAGGATCCGCCTGGACCATTGTCCCTGGGAGCGAAGCTCGGAAGCTTCGCATGACTACGTGGAGACTAGCCTTGCACGCGGTCGGAGATGAATACATTACAGAGGCAAAGTGCATTTCTTTTATACTTCTTTTCTTTTACACAGGATCATTTAATCCTTAAGAGACAGAGCCCAAATAATATTGATCAGGACCCTTTCCGCCTAGATCCCATAGAGTCTGCTGTGGATTTATATATGAAACTGAAGCTCAAATACTTTGGCCACCAAATGAGAAGGGAGCACTCACTGGAGAAGACCCTGATGCTGAGAAAGATTGAAGGTCAAAGAAGACAGGGACGGCAAAGGATGAGATGGTTAGACAGTGTCATAGATGCAATGAACATGAAATTGAGCCAACTTCAGAGGATGGCGGAAGACAGGAAGGCCTGGCGTGATCTGGTCCATGGGGTCGCAAAGAGTCGGACTCGACTGTGCGACTGAACAACAACAAAAATGGATTGATGAGGAGACAGGGGTCAAGGGTAACAAATACTTTACTTTGTAAGCATTACATTTAATGCCTTCCCACTCTATTATAAGAACTTGTACGCACTCAATGAAATTGCTGAGCAGTCGGGTTACAATGGATAAAAGGAAGTACTTCTTCCCCCAAAGATTAACACATCAAATTCACTGCCACAGGAGGTGGCGGCAGCTACAAGCATGGATGGCTTCAAGAGGGAATTGGATAAAAATATGGAGCAGAGGTCCATCCGTGGCTATTAGCCACAAGGTATAGATAGGAACTCTCAGTCAGGGGCAAGTGATGCTCTGTATTCTTGGTGCTTGGGGGGGGGGGCAACAGTGGGAGGGCTTCTAGTGTCCTGACCCCACTAGTGGACCTCCTGATGGCACCTGGTATTTTGGCCACTGTGTGACAGAGTGTTGGACTGGATGGGCCTTGGCCTGATCCAACATTGGCTTCTCTTATGTTCTTATGATAGATGACGTGTTACATGAGCTGGGAGGTGATCTGGTCATAAAGTACGTTCTCTAAGAAGCTCAGACTTGGAAACATAACTGGACAAGCATTAATACTTTGTGATTATTAAAGGAACAGCATCCAAACCCTACCTCTGTAAACAAGTCTCTATTGGACTCCCTGTCTATTCCAGGATACCTCCTATCCAGTGTTCCCACTAAGCTGAGTTAGTGTGAGCTAGCTCACAGTTTTTAAGCCTCTGGCTCACACAGTTTTGTCTTAGCTCAGGAAGGATGGCTCCAGAGCCAACTAATTTATGCAGTAGCCAAATCGCTCGCTCACAACTTTAATGCCAGTAGCTCACAGAGTAGAATTTTTGCTCACAAGATTCCGTAGCTTAGAGGGAGCATCCTATCCCCTCTCCCTCCATAAATGCTGTTTATCTTGTTTTGCCCGGCCATCATCATTTGGGAGTGGCCTTTACCACTGGATCAGCCACTGTTTGGATTGGCTCTGGTTTTTCGTTTGTACTCTGCATAGTAATGGCACACTCTTATTTCTTGGATTGCTTAATAACATGCACACAGGCGCCACCCTTTTTTTTGCACATGATCATTTCTGTAGTTTTCTGCCAACGAAGGGCACAGTATCTGAGGAATGGCTCTGGCTTATGAAAAGAGCCACAGAAAATCTATTCGTCTTTAAGATACCACAAGACTCTTGCTATTATGTTTGTGCTGCAGCAGATTAACAAGGCTACCATTGTGGAATTCAGAAGTAGCATGTAGAAAATGTAATCACTGCATGCCAGTGTGGTGTGATGGTTATGAGTGTTGGACTGTGATCTGGGACATCCAGATTCAGATCCCCCACTCTGCCATGCTGCAGCCACAGTGTTAAGTTGCGCTGGTGGAGCTTTAAAGTGACTTGGCTGAAGTACTTTATGCAGGCCATGTGGCTCTGGAGTTGTAGCCTTCCCACATTTTGCTTTACTGCTCTCCGTGCTGTATTGTCAATCGATCCAATTTTATTAATACGATCCAAGATCAGAAAAGTGCTGTATGGTAAACAGAATGGTATGCATTCTTGGGGAAAGGGACTGTATTTTAATAGTTTGTGTTTGCATCATTTCCAGCTCAGCCAGCTCAATTTCTGATCAAGTCTGGCCCACTGGGGCCTGTCTGAAATACTCTCACCACTAATTAATAATGCTGGGAGGAATGAGGTTGCAGGACCAGTATGGTCCCTGCAACATTTGCTGAGTGTCATGCTGGCTTGAGTTCAGAAGATGCAATCAGACGCGCTTTTGTTAGCTTCACTAGAATGATCAGGCTCATTCAAGATTGTGTGAGAGTTGCTGATAACCAAGAGAGAGAATGACTTACAGATGAAGTAGATAAACATACAAGGAGGCAATTTAAATTACATCAAATTATTCTAAAACCCATACATATGGAACACAGCACAAAGCTGATCAAGCAGAACATCATACAGCTGCTGATGCCTGTAGGTTTTATTCCTGTTTGAATGCCTCTTCTTGTTGATACCAAATTTCCCCCACTGTTTTCCGGAACTCATTTCACTAACAGAAATATCTGTGATACAGAGACACACACCAGAGGGAGGAACCTAATTAGGCTGTAAAAGCCAAAACAAAGAGTCTTATGGCATCTTAAACAGTGACAAATTTATTGTAGCCGAAGCTCTTGCGAACCAGAGCCCAGTTCATCCAATGATCAGTGTAGTTGGACTAGCACAGAGGGATGTGTGTGTTTGTGAGACATGCTCTATGTTAAAATTAGTTGTGGAACTAGGAAATGTGCATACCTAGGAAATTGTAATGTGGATACTTTCTGGTTTGGCACAGTCATTATGGGCTTACTCTTTTTAGCAGAAGAAAAGAGCAAGAGTCCAGTAGCACCTTAAAGACTAACAAACTTTGTGGCAGGATATGAGCTTTTGTGAGGCACTGCTCATTTCTTCAGATATTGTTGAGGTGCTACTAGACTCTTGCTACTAGACTCCTGGCCACACAGGGGGGAAATGACGCGGCCAAAGTGCGGCTTTTTAGAGCCGCACCAAAAGAGACATGCGGCAGCAGGATCAGACAGATCCCCTGAGCCACCGCGCAGTTGCTCCCCGGCACAATCAGATGCCGGGGGGGGGGAGCCACGGAACGAGGAGCGAGGCAGCCGGCTGCGCATGTGTGCACATGCACAGTTTGGCCGGGAGCCTCGAATGCTGCGGGAGACGGGGGCGATCCCACGGCCACACTTGCTGCGGCGTTTCAGGTAGGTACTGCTCTTTTGTAGGTTCTTTTTTGCTGTGCGTTATCGGCCTTTAGGGATGGATTGGGGACGGGTGGGCGCCGCTTCCCAGATGTTGTGGTGTGATCGCACCTGTTTGCTACGCCCCCGATCCGTCCCTCTTGTGGAACTAAACCTCCCATGTGACCGGGGCCTAACATGGCTACCCATCATGATCTATCTTACTATTTTTAGATTTCTCTGGAAGATTACAGATTGTGTTTAAGGTCCCTTGGGAGGTCCGTGCTGATAGTGGTGCTCAGAATAGAGGTGAATTCAGGTGTCTGTGTTTAACCAAAATATAGCTCTTCATCAATCTTTTCTCTTTAACTCCTATAACACTGTTCAGTGCTTCATGAGTGGACTGCAGAAATTTAACTGCCCATTGGGTGACTCTGCATCTAGCAGGTGCTCCACATTTTCTCAACAGGGAGGAAAAAGTGCAGCTCAAAACTGCAAATACCCCGGGCCAATGCCGTACTGACTGGAAAGTCACCCCTGAATAGCCATAAAACAGCCATAAATCTATGCAGAAGATACCATAAAAAAAAGGAAGTGAAAGTGGCAAGCAATGCAGAGGGGAATTTCGGCTCCAACCGTTGGTTTGCTGGAACGTCAGAGGAAAAAGCCAGTGCAGAATCAGCCCTTGTCTTAAGCAAGTTGCCCTGATAAGGAGCACTCCCCCCTGTCATTCTCCCAGCGAAGATCAGAGAAATCGCTCTCCCACCTCAGATGCTGTCATGGTCTGCTAGCCTGGCTGCCTCTCCTTCTGCCAGGCAACTCTTCTGCACTGCTGAGTTGCTCACAAATCATATTAATAAATTATATCATCACAGGTTGAGAAGATAAAGCTGCCATTCTCTTTTGTGCTGGAAATTAGAACTAAAAAGTTGGGAAGTGTCTACTCATGAATAACAAACATTCTTTTATTTTGTATACAGGCACTTTGGCATCCATGGATGACTTTTATATACTTGGCAATGGCTTAATAATGTTGCAGACCACAAACAGCGTATTTAACCAGTCTCTGCTTAAACAAGTGGTACCTGAGAGTCTCTTTGCATGGCAGAGAGTCCGTCTTGCCAACATGATGGCAGACTCTGGGAAAACGTGGGCACAAATGTTTGCAAAGCAAAATTCTGGTTGGTATTATTAAGGTGGAACCTGTTTACATAGCATTCTCCAAAAAGTAGTGCAGGTTTAATTTTGTCTTCCCTGCCCCCCAGGTACCTATAATAACCAGTATATGGTCTTGGATACAAACAAGATCACGTTGCAGAAGTGTATTGATAACGGAGCTCTCTATGTCATTGAACAAATCCCCAAACATGTGGAATACTCTGACCAGACAAATATTCTCCGTAAAGGTAAATACCTTTTGGTATTTTCTTCACCTTTTGCTTTTCGGTGAGAATTGGGAATGATGAAGGTGGCCTGTTAGGAATTCCAGGTCAGTGCTTGTGTGGGACAAAGGTGGCTATTTCTGCTTGGCAGAGAATCACCAAATATGAGTCTAGTCCTTTGGGGAGCTATAGAAAATGACAGGTGTTGCTCAAAATGGGAACAAGATTTTTGCTGCCTTTTGTTTTGTTCTGGGATTCTTTATAGCTTCATCCAAGAGCCATCAGGGGTTAGCATGGTTGGGTACAGACTGGCAGAGGGTCACTGGAGAGGCCAGGCCAATCTAGTGCCCAACAGCAGTGGAGGGAGTAGAGTGAAAGAGAACTGCACATAGTGCTGCTTTCTCCAGGCACACGTCTAATCAGGAAATTGGGGTGGGTGGGATCACAGCATTCAGAAGGTGAACCTGATGTCTTTCATACTACTTTTAGAGCTGCTGGCATCACTGGTGCCAAAAGGACTGTGAAAAAGCCACGCTCCGTACCTTCTAGCCTTGTGATGGGGGTGGGTGGGTGGAGGAAAGCGTAGTGGAGGGGGCCACGGGCCACCCGCAGCTGGCTTTGCTTCAGCTTGTCCAAACAAACTGTGCTTTTGTGGCTGTTGGTCGATGTGTTGCTGCCAAACGCTGCCACATTGCCTAGATTTTCATGGGAATGAGAGGGAGTTCTCTAGACAGTGTAGCATCTCTTTGGAATTCAGACCTTTGAAGCAGTGTAAGTGGTGTGGAAATCACTACATCTCCTCGATTTGCAGGATACTGGCCTTCTTACAACATCCCTTTCCATGAAACTATCTATAATATGAGTGGATATAGAGCATATGTTACGAAATATGGCTTGGATTTTTCGTATGACATGGCTCCCAGAGCCAAAATCTTCCGACGGGACCAGGGATCAGTGACGGATATGGCAACCATGAAGCGCGTAATGAGATACAACAGTATGTTGATTTTTCTCTTTATTTCCCCCCCAACAATCTCCCTGTCCTGCCATCCCCACAACATGACAAGTTTAGTTCTTCTCTGCTATTATGTTGTTGAACACAATGGGAATGAGATCATTTTCTGAAGCTTAAATACCTTTAAATAGATACGATTTTTAAAATGCCTCCAAGGGAGATTGGAGCCAAAATCCTACTAAAAATTAGTTTCTCCCTAAGATTAGACCAAGAGCTCATCAAACCTTCCTGCTTCTGAGGAAATAACCTGTGTCATTCAGTTTCTCTAAATCTTGCAATGATGAAAGTAAATCCCAGTGAATCTTGAGAACCCTCTTGCAACTATGTTTCCAAATATCTAGCCTTATGACCAGCCAGACCTATATGTATTCTGCATGTTCAATCTAGCACTATATAACCCCATTATATTTAATATTTGGCACAGAACTCAGTATCCTGGGTTTCCCATTTCATGTTATAGCCAGCAGAATAAAGTATGTACATTTTTGCATAATCTGATCTTTCTTGGAACACGGTTTGGATCCCTTTTCTTGCCTCTCTGCAGAAAACAGTGTCTAGACTTCAGTGCTCCAAAGAAAGGAAGTTCATCCCTGTACCTGTTGCTTTATTCTGTGAACAGCATTGACTGGATGGGGGGGGGGAGCCTTCCAAAAACCCCTTCCCTGGTTGATGTCATTTTTAGGACAGGGTAACAGCATTGCTGAAAGTGAAGAGGACCTAAAGAGCCTCTTGCTCAGTGTAAAAGAGGAGAGCGCAAAAGTGGGCTTGAAGCTCAACATCAAAAAAACTAAGATCATGGCATCCGGCCCCATCACTCCTTGGCAAATAGAAGGGGAAGTCGTGGAAGTAGTGACAGACTTCACGTTCCTGGGATCCCAGATCACCGCAGAATGTGACTGCAGCCATGAAATTAAAAGACGCCTGCTCCTTGGGAGGAAAGCGATGGCAAACCTAAACAGCATGATAAAAAGTAGAGACATCACCCTGCCAACAAAAGTCCGCATGGTCAAAGCAATGGTATTCCCAGTAGTCATGTATGGCTGCGAGAGTTGGACTATAAGGAAGGCCGAGCGCCGAAGAATAGATTCTTTTGAACTATGGTGCTGGAGAAGACTCTTGAGAGTCCCTTGGACTGCAAAAAGATCAAATCAGTCAATCCTAAAAGAAATCAACCCTGACTGTTCCCTGGAAGGCTAGATAATGAAACTGAAGCTCAAATACTTTGGCCACCAAATGAGAAGGGAGCACTCCCTGGAGAAGACCCTGATGCTGAGAAAGATTGAAGGTCAAAGAAGACAGGGACGGCAAAGGATGAGATGGTTAGACAGTGTCATCGATGCAACGAACATGAAATTGAGCCAACTTCAGAGGACGGCGGAAGACAGGAGGGCCTGCCGGGAGATGATCCATGGGGTCGCGAAGAGTCGGACTCGACTGTGCGACTGAACAACAACAACAACAACAGCATTGCTGAGGGGTCTCTTTGAAACACTGGGCAAGTGGTTGTACATACTGTTCTCTGCCAAAGGCAAGGCAAGGGATCCTTCTTTCCTCCTTTGCAAAAATGCGCTTGATTATTTTTTTGTCTTCTGAACCAAGGCTGGAACTTTCATGAAAGACAAGAGGGTTCTCAAGCTTGTGTTTTCCTCTGAACTTTAATGCAGCTGCTGGAAGCACTTACAGGGAAGAAACAGCAGGTGGGAAAGATACTCAACGTTTCTCCTATCCAGATTATCCCCAACAAATGACCTCTACCACCAGGCCACTTTTACATGTCTGTTTCCCCAGCGGAGTTCCAAAGCTGGAAGTAAGCCTGGCAAGTGTTTTGGTCCTGTGTTGGGTTTTGTAACAAAGTCTGGTGAGAGAATGGGCATTCTATCCTAAATATCAAAACTTTATGCCAGGGTTAAGTGTTGGTTCACATTTCACCTGGTATATTTGATTCTCCTGAAAGTACGTTTAAGGTGTAAAGCAAATATTCTCCCCCCCCACACACACACACCCATTAAAGAAAGGAGGTAGTGCTTTGCTGTGGATGGCTATGTCTAGAATTACTCAACTACATTGTTCCTTTCTTTGTAGACTACAAGAAAGATCCATATGCAAGGCACAATCCCTGTAATACTATTTGCTGTCGGGAAGACTTGAATCTCAGATATCCAACTCCAGCTGGCTGCTATGACTCCAAGGTAAAGACTCCAAGAAGAACTAGTCTACTAGAGATGCTGTTTGGGTCAAAGTGGGGGAAGCAAAAATGTGTTCCTATTGGATTTCCCCCCATGACATTCACACACACACGCACACACGCGCACACACACACGCACACACACACCAGATGCATACTATTAAATGCATCTGGACTTATGGAAACTTGGCAGCCCAGTTTGGTGTAGTGGTTAAGTGTGCAGACTCTAATCTGGGAGAACAGGGTTTGATTCCCCACTCCTCCACTTGCAGCTGCTGGATGACCTTGGGCAAGCCATAGTTCTGTCAGAGCTGTCCTTGAAAGGGCAGTTCTTGAAAGAGCTCTCTCAGCCCTACCTACCTCACAGGGTGTCTGTTGTGGGGAGAGGAAGGGAAAGGAGTTTGTAAACTGCTCTGAGACTCCAAGTGAAGGGCAGAGTATAAATCCAATCTCTTCTCTTCTTCTTCATCATCAGTAAATTCACAGTTTTTAAACTTTTTTAAAATTCTCAGAAATGGGTGAGAGATTAAGAGTAATTTGCCAGTCCACAAGCAAGGCACACCGTTTCCAGCAAGAAATGCCATAAGAACTGGACATAAGGCCTTGGTTTGTATTCGTTTGTGTAAGTCTGGCCACTTGTGAACTGGTACAGTTTCCTATTAAAATCGCTGCTGATTATTATAACATCTTCATCATTAGCCTTTGCCCTAGGGAAGCCGTTGCCAACACAGTCACAACTGTTTAACTCCATGATAACTGCCCAGTCTTCTGTCATGAGATTTCTCCTCCTCTGTCCTATAATATGAACCTTGTCCTGCCTAAGCAGCAAGGTCAAGAGAAGCTGTAAACAAATACCTTGGCTTGTTGCCCAGATGTGTCAGCTGATCCATCAGCTTTTGAAATGGGGTAGTAAATGGTCATAAAATGTCAGGTGTTGGCCTTTGTAGGTATAAACAACAGTCTGCTGGAGCCATCTCTGTTTGCCTTCATTTACATGATTCCCTCTTTTGCCTCTCAGAATCCCGCTGCATCTTTTTACACGCAATCACACACTTTATCTGAGCAGGGCCTGTCCAAAGCGTTTATTCCCTGAGGGCATAACTAATCAGACCCTGGGGATTTCATGATATTTCCCCTATACATTTCAGGGTCCTGATTTCCTCCATGGGAACTGATTTCTTTCGTTTGAAAATCCGTTATAATCCTGGGACAATTTCAGGTCTCATCCGGAGGTTGGTAACCTACATAGCAGTACTGTTTGCCCTTTTTGGGTAAGCATAGGTTCACCCCAGCCGGGCAAATGATGACTCCATGGGGCTGCTTCAGGTTTGGAAAACAGTGTATGCATTTGGTCCCAAGCAGAGTTGGGCCCCTGCATGTTGATTGTTAAGGGGGGGGGCTGAATTGAGTTCCTTTTACTGGTGGCCTGTACAGACCTAAGACCTAGGCACTACCCCATGGAAGCTTGCTGGGTGACCTTGGGCCAGGCACCAGACTCTCAGCCTAACATACTTCACAGGATTCTTGGGAGGACAGAACGGAGGACAGGAGAATGTTGCAGGCCACTTCAGGGCCTATTTGGGGAGAAAATTAGAGTATAGATCATTCATTCAAATAGATGTAAGTAAATTTTAAAAAAATCGATTCCATATCAGAAGGCCCTACAGCTCTAGCATACTATATGCTAAACTCTAACATTTCCAGAAGCCATGCCAGTAGTCCAAGGGTGAGGACATCTAGGCATGTGTTGTTATTTTACACAATTTAAATCCTTTCCTTTGCATCTCTTTCACTAGCATATTGATACATGCACTGAGCAGTTTTTAATAACCCAGTATTATTACATTTGACAGAAAGAGAATGGGAAAAGGCACATACACAAGGTAACTGAAGCAAGTGTAGCTCTCTGGCTTATTGTCGATCTCCTCACCATTACAATGCAAGCCTATTGCAAGAAAAAACCATTTGCCACAGAACGACAATCCCATTTATTTTCAGTCAAAAGAATCTGTTGCGAATGTGAGAAATATACACTTTGATAGCATATGATTCATATCTGTTGACTACTTTTAGAGTAGAGAACGGAGAAGGAGAGAAAGAAATAGTAGGAGTCTGTGAGGGTGCACTGAAGCTGAATAAAGGGGCGGAGAGATTTGTTGTGTAAAATAGGTAAGGTTTTGCTTCATCTTGAGTTAGGGGTAACTGCTGTAGGACAGAGTAGGAGGTTGCATTGCTGCCTGCTCGCTCAGTAAGGATGTCTCATTATGGAAGGACACAGATGTGAGGCGCTGCTGTGTCTCCACTACCCCCAACAGCTCCTCCTGCCATTAAGTTTGTTGAGAAGCAGAGGGGGCTCAGCTAGACCTCAGAAGGGAGAATGTTGGCAACCACCTTCCTCCCCCCTCCCCCCACAGGACATCTCCCGCCTGCTCCCTTCCTCCCTGGCTGCTGGACCAGATGCTTTTTATTCCTTCCCACAAGGCAGTGCTGGCCCAAACAAGGCTGTGCCTCCTCATGAGGACTGCAAGTCCCATGGGAGGGTGAGGAGATCCTGGCTGTTCCCATGGCTCTTGCCCACCCCTGCCACCTCCTTCATTGACCAAGCAGGCATCCACTACTGCAGCTGTTTCTGCCGTGGCTTTTAAGAGGCCAGCTTCTCCGGAGTTGGCCATGCTAACTGGCTGCCTCATGCATGCCTACCCTGCCTCTGTCTGCTGCTCTGGCTCCAGCCCAGTGAGGCCTGAAGGGAGAGGACGCCGTTGAAGGTGAGGGTAGGTCTAGCCTTATGCTCTGATCCAGACCACGGAGGCAACACAGTGGAAAACGGAGGTTTTTCAACCCATCAACCAAAGGCTGAGTCTGGCTCGACATTCCAAAGATTCTCTTCTACAAGTCAGATCAGGCAGAAGCCAGATGGGTTTGCAAAAGGAAACATTTACCAGCTCTTGTGAAATGTGTCTCATTACGTACCTAAATCATGTTTTCCAGCAACTAGGGGTGAAGATGGGGTCATGACTCGGGTGACTCTAAGGGGAGCTGCCTACCAGTGTGTATGGTGAGGCAGACAATGGCAGGGCTAACATAATCCAGACTCCGGCTGCTGCCGCAGGGAGACTATTCTCTGTCTGTGTCTCATTGCCACGGCCAATGCAGAGGCCCTAACACAGCTCTTCCGTTACTGCACCTTATTTATTTCAGTTGTGCAAGCTTGAAAAGGTGATCTGTTTAAGAGCCTCTCACCAGTTAGGAAGGTGCAGGACTCACGCTGTTTCGCTGGGTGTAGTTTGAAGCTAGTCCCCCCCCCCCGGTACATCTCTCTAATGGGGGAGGAAGGGTTCCACGCAGCAACTAGTGGGGTGGCAGCTATGCCCTTTTATGGGTATTTCCCTTTTTTACAAACCTTTTCCTCCAGGCCTGTTGGCAACCTTACTCTTGGGTGCCCTGAAGCCACTGAGCAACCCACAGCCTGTTTTCACACACACTTGAATTAAAAAGAAGGGGATGCTGGGCAGACGGCATGACTGCTCTGTAGGATTGAGTCATGGTCTCCCTATTTACAGAAATTAAGCAGCAGGCGTAATGGCCTGCTCTTGGTTACCTTCCCTGAAGGAAGAGGGATAACGCCACCTTGTGGTGTAACCCCCAATGAAGTCCATACAAGTCTCAAATCCATTTCTCTACCGCTGACCTCCCCCCTCTCTCTCACCCCTTTCTTATACCTTCAGGCAGTCTCTATTATCCCCTCTGCTAGATTCCCTAAGATTGTCTTGTAATTTCCCTCCCTGCACATGTTTGTCAAGAATCTCTCATGTTCTGCGGAACTTTTTTTTTTTTAAAACTCACACGCACTGTCAGATCAGTACGTTCCTTCTAGCATTACTGTTGCTGCCTTACTAGTAAGCTGTAACTATAGGAAGGCACATGACTCAGTTGAGGCCTGGGTGAAACAGAAGCACCACACAGGAAGTTACAAATGGTATCCCATGTAACTAGTTGCTTCTTCCTGCCCTTGTCCCTCCTGTATTGCTGCTGTCACCATGACCAGAGACTCTGGCCTTTAAATTCAAGGGGAAATTATGTATAGCCAAAATCAGCTGCCAGAGGGGACCACCTCATGCCGCGCTGCCAATAATTCAATAGTACACATAAAGGGACCTGGGACATACTTGGCATTTCTGAATGCTGTGATGCCAAAAGCTGAATATGGCTCTTTGTAAAGCTTATGCACATCCTCAGCAAAGTGACTGGTTTGTTTTAGGGAAAATTCATACTTCAGTTTCCTTCCTGAACCAAGAAATCTTCTCCTGTGATCCTTTACAGGTATCAGACATCTATATGGCTGCAAAGTTTACAGCATACGCCATCAATGGTCCACCAGTGGAAGAGGGTCTGCCTGTCTTCAGCTGGTCACGCTTCAATCAGACAAAGCACCAGGGCTTGCCAGACTCTTATAACTTTGATTTTATCACCATGAAGCCAGTCCTATGAAACTGACATCAGAGTTTTAACATATGGAAGAAGGGTTTTTTTCTATGTACAGTTTTACAAACATACCAAATAAACTCATCTGTGCACTCCTGAGATTCTGCCTTTGCTTTCCTTGCTTAATGTGTGTGTGTGTGTGTGTGTGTGTGTGTGTGTGTGTGAGAGAGAGAGAGAGAGAGAGTGTGTGGGGGTTTGTGAGAGAGAGAGAGAGAGAGAGAGAGAGAGAGAGAGAGAGAGAGGGGAAGGAAACAAACAAAGGGATCCAGATGTAAGCCAGAAAGAAAAATGAAAACTCTTCTTGAGAATTCAAAAGCAACCAATGGAAGTCCAAGCTTGGCAGGGATCAATGGATACCTGACATGTAGAGCATCTTTGCCCTTTTTCTGTTCTACCACAAAACTATGTTCATGGATGAATGATTCCAATTATTGCTCCCCACAAAGAGGAGAATATTTCTGTTTTGGGGGGGGGATATTAGGTCTTCTTGCTATTCATAACCTGTTTGTTCAGACCTAAAAGCAGAGGACCAGTTGGAAGCAGTCCCTGGTCAAAAACTATTTGAGTAGAAACCAGAAAGTTTGTCCTGACATGGCAGGAATCAGTTGTCGTGAAAACCCTGTATATCTCTTGTGGGTGAGAGAACTGAAAGACTGAATTGCTTGTGGCTCCATTTTTGTTGTTTTGTTGTTGTTGAGGGGCACAACCCTGAGGAATGACAATTCTATAACAACTCACACAATATTTTAACAGGATATTTCCCAAATAATAAAATAGGAGACAGTCATGAATACTTGTGGCTCCAGTTAGGGAGCAAGCAGTAATTTCCTTTGGGATATGCCTTTGCAATCCATGCACAATTTGAGCTACCTGGTGATAACATCTCTTAGCTACTCCCTTCCCAAGGAAGTTCGGGCAATAAGACACAAGAAGATAGCAAACATATCGCTTGTCATGCTGGATCAGACCAAAGGTCCTAATAGCATATCAGTTATTTTCATACGTCAATGAGATGCACTAAGTTTTTTCTCTAGTTAACTCATTGCTAGTCAGCTTAACTAGATTGCTCCAAGTTCTAGAATGCTAAGAGAAATGGTGATTGATTTTCTGTACCAGTTATTTTCTGAGCGCCAGTTTGGTGTAGTGGTTAAGTGCGCGGACTCTAATCTGGGAGAACCGGGTTTGATTCCCCACTCCTCCACTTGCACCTGCTGATGTGACCTTGGGTCAGTCACAAGCTCTGGTACAGCTGTTCCTGAAAGAGCAGTTTGTGTCAGAGTTCTCTCAGCCCCACCCACCTCACAGGGTGTCTGTTGTGGGGAGGGGAAGGGATAGGAGTTTGTAAGCTGCTCTGAGACTCCAAGTGAAGGGCGGGGTATAAATCCAATCTCTTCTTCATCATCATCATCATCACTGGGTCTCCTACTTCATCACCTATTTTTCCTCAATTAAAGCATTCCTACTTCTGAAGTCTCAACACAAGTTATACTTGGTTTAGAATTCTTGTTTTTATAGTGCCCTCAGGGTTTTGTTTAGGGATTACTTGTCTTTGCAAAACATGAAGAATTCCTGCCAATACTGGGAAGACCTGACTGAGAGATCAATAATACCACTTTATATATCAGTGACATCAACAAAGGTCACTTTCATGGAGAGGAAAGCAAAAAGTGCTGCTACTTCACTTTCACCTAGAAGACTGGTTGTTGCAGCTGTCAGAGTTTAGCGCCCACAGGAACAGCATGCTTGTTCTGTGTGTTGGCCTCAAAGCACAGAAATAACACCTGTAGTTCTGCCTTTAGCACATAGTCGATTTGGGTAGTTTAGCCAGAGCCTGACTATAGAGCACACAATACAAGGCACCCTGTAGCTTTTCAAGGATCCCACCCACAGTGGTTATAATAGCATATGATGGAGAAATAATTGCCTGCATCCACACTGTGTTTTCTGTGCAGCTCTGCATTTTTAGGTGTGCTGAGCATCTAAATTTGTACATCATATTTGAAAGCCTGCCATTGGTTCTGTGCCTGAACAATATCTACACAGATGTTTTCTGTTGCAACTAGAAGGCTCCTTCAGGTGCGCAGCTGGATGTCCCTGCCTCTTGCCCTTCTGGTTCCATGTTGCATTCTTGACTACAGTAATCACTCCTTGACACAGAATGGGGATTATCTTTTTGGCTCTTGGCAATAGTTGCTCCTTAAATGACATATGCACCTTGTGACTGAGCCCCTATGGCTCTCTGAATGGTTTTATTTGAAGTAAAGCAAAAATCATACCCTCACACATATTTTAAATGTTGCTATTACTATTCATTCCTTCAGCAAAGGTCCAGGTCTTTCAAAATCCCCTGTGGTTTGGAAACTGAACAAACAGACCAGGTAGGAATCTGGCATTACTTGACTCTTGCATTTTCTACAGCAGCCACCAGATGGCAGAAGAATCTCACTTATGTGCAGCATATACCCGTTACTATCCAAATAGCTCTTCCCTTCCACACTTAGTGCATGTATATCCCCTAGTATATTCTGGTTTAACCGCGGATACAACAGGATCTTGAGCACATGTACACTCTAGGCCTCTCACATAAATAACCCATGTGCCAGTTTATAAAAATGGCTAGCATTTCAACACTCAAATATTAACAGGGCATATATGAAACAGCATAGAACACAGGGTTGGGTGACCTTTTTGGCCAGAGTGTGACTCTCCCCCCGCCCCCCATCTACTAATGGAAACGCTGGTGCGCTGTTAAACAATGGTCCGGGTGGGGAGTTGGAGAAAGAGTTGTGCTTGGCCAGAGACACTGCATGGGAATAACCCTGGAAGGGTACATTCATGTACATTCAACAACCCTGGAAGGGTTGACAACCCCTAGTATGCATACCACACATGGAACCCTCAGTGAGATAAATCCTCCTCTCCTAGGTTTCCCCTCTTACTAAAAGAAAATGGCTGCCTCCTTCTCCTTTGAAGGGAGCTAAATTTCCTCATTGGGGAAAAAAAACACCGACGACCCATGCTCCTCTAGAGGCCTGATTCTGAAGGTGGGGGAGCAACAGAGGATTTAAAGAGACAGTGACTAGTTCATTAAGGCTTTGATAGCCATGATTTCTTTTTCATCAGAGGGAGTCCTTGATTGATCCATTTTTTCCCCTTCCCCCTTCTTCCTCCCTGGAAAAGAAGATCGACAGGTGTCTTCTCAATCCATTGACTCATCAAGGGACGCTGAGTCTCCTGGCCCAAGGAACGAATGGACTGGCCCGGATGGGTTTAAAGGGGGGAAAGTAGGGTTTCCATCCTCCAGGTGGGCCTGGAAACGAAAGAGATCATGGCTGCCTTGCAGGGCGAACTGTATGGCATTAGTGTTGGCAGAGTTTAAACATGCAGAGAAATGAGCACCAACCGCTTAAAGAACTTGCTTTATTATTTATTTATGACTAAATTAGGTTTCCAGACCACCCTTCCATGTGAGACAGGGTTCAGGGCGGTGTACAACAATAAAAAGTTCATACATAATTTCATGATTAAGAGCAATAAATACATTATTTAAAAGCAATAAATACATTAAACAAATTAGATGGTGCTAAATTTCAGTTGTGCCATTGCCCCACGGGGGAGCCAGAAGATAGGAATACCAGCCAGGCAAAAGATAGGTGTCAGTGCCAGCAAGATGGAAACCGTCACTATCCTCAACCAAACGCCTGGTGGAACATCTCCGCCTGACAGGCCCTGCAGAACTGTATCAGGTCCCGCAGGGCACGGATGTTATTTGGCAGAGTGCTCTACCAGGTTGGAACCAGGGCCAAAAAAGCCCTGGCTGTGGTCAAGGACAGCCGGATGTCTCTCAGGCCAGGGATCACCAGTAAATTCTTATCTTCCGAGCGCAGGGCTCTTTGGGGGGGGCGGTATACCAGGAGAGGCAGTCCCAAAGATACGTGGGTCCCAGACTGTTTAGGGCCTTAAAGGTTAACACCAGAACCACACACAAACAGTTCCTTTAATGGCATTTCATAGAAGTAAAACATATCTAAGAAGTAAAATTCAATTTCTGGATAAGATGCAATTTCCAATAATTGCACTGAGCATTTACAAAATTTTACTGCGTATAAAGCAGCAGCCAGTAAGAACTTTGCCACTGGTTCAATTATGTTTTTTTAAATAACTTTTTATTGCTTTTATACTATAAACTACCAACTACACACTACAAATTCAGAGTAGCAAGGCTCAGTAATAAACTTTCGCTTTAGATACTTCCCTACAAATTAATGCTTACAATATATCATTTACCTTTCATATATAAAGTATTCAAATAAAAAAGACAAACATTAATTAATTATGATAGCACATATGAGCAAGAGTATATATTCTATAAAGCTTAACATAGAAAAATCTCAGATCTTCATTTAGATGCCTTCTTATCTTCACGTTTCTTCTTCTTTTGCCAGGGGATTTTAATCTTGTATGATCTGGGAGCAGCCTCTCCCAGTTCAGAGTCAGAGTCAAAGATCTCACCCAAAGACACAAAGGAGGAACTGTCACTAGCTATCTCCCGTTGTTCGCTTTTTTCTTCTGTAGCCTTCTCTTCCCCTGCTTTCTCTTTTTCTTTTGCTGGACTCTGATACTGCTTCAAAAACAATTCTACTTTGGTGAGAGAGTCAATCTTTTCCTTTTTGCCTTTATAGTTGAATATAAGTCCTTCTGGTAAGATCCATCGATACTGAATGGTGTTTTTTTGAAGAAATGTTGTAATATTTCTGTATTGCTTTCTCTTTTTACGTATTTTAAATGGAACATCTTATAACATTTTTTATTTATTCCTCTTGAATTTTTAATATTGTCCCAGTTGTTGCTTTAAGTATCAAATCTCTTGTTGATCTTTTTGCAAATTTAACAAATATTTCTCCAGGAAGGTTATTTTTCTTCACAAACTCTGAATATGTTCTGTAAATCATGTCCATATCTGCTTGTAATATTTCAGGTTTGCTGTTGATCAGGGGAGCCAGTGCTTCACTTAGGATCTTTCTCAGATGCTCATCTTTTTTTTCTGGGACCCCTTGAAATCTTAAAAGAGCCAGTTTGGTGTAGTGGTTAA